CCCCCCCAAGTATTTTTGGCTAACCTCATTTAGGTTGTATATGCCAGACAATACGCACACGAAGAGCCATATTACTTTCTCTTGTGACGTGTGTTTCTCTGTGTACTCTGACCTCCCCCCTGCAGGCAGCCACCAGGACTGACAGTATGACTCTGACCCCAGGTCAGTGGCTGGGCCTGCCTGCTGTCACTGCTGTCACCCTCTACAGACATGAGGACCCAGCCATGGTACGCTCATATATCTTTCTACAGATGTTCCTGACACAGAGCCACCATGTTTCTGGATGTCCTCCTGCTGCTGATCCTCACTGAGGAAATGTTCAGCAATCAAACACACACTTGTTTAACCTTTCCCACAATTGTCACTATTTAAACTATCTATGTTAAGATTTTTCTCTTAAAATCATTAAGTTTGGTTGTATTACATGTAATATACAGTACACTTTTCATTTTTTTTTTACGTGTGCAGTTTACAGTTTTTACAATTAATAATGTTGCCACATGCTGCTACTGTACCTCATTACTTTTATATGTTCACTCACTTTTCTATAATGCTGCTTTTGATTATTAAAGAGGATGTGTCTTATTTGATTAGATATTGTTAACTGTGTGCTTAGTTCTTTATTTAATATGTCAGTCTACTCATCTGATTCTTGTCTTCTTGCTGTAACACTGTTAGTGTCCCCACTGTGGAACAAATCAAGGATGTCTAATCCAGATTCTGATTGTTCTGTTCTATTCTCTGTTTGTGTCTGAATGACTTGCTGTGTGTCAGTCTCTGGCAGCAGGCATGACCTCCAGCCAGCCGGTGGCCAGGCTGCGGGCGCTGCCCCTCTGGCTCTCCCTGCAGCACCTCGGACACGATGGGATCGTCCACAAGATCAGACACGCCACTGCTCTGGTGAGCACCACTTCACTTCCCCTTAACCACAAACTGTCATTCCTAAATAACAATTTAGGGTAATAAAATCTGGATTTGAATATTGGCAGATATTAAATGTCATATTATGGAGTTTGCAATAAAATCTAATGATATACTCTACTCACCTTTATTTCTCTCCCATCTAGAGCCAGCACCTCCTGCAGAGGCTCAAAGCTCTGACCTCCATTAAAACATCGGTAGGTGCTCTCATAATGTTCTGTCATAAACAAAAACTCAGGACTCCCATAATAATGGTCATCAAATGTAAATCAAATATTTGCAGTTACTGTTTTGCAACCCAACACATAATATCCAAAAAACAATATTCCTGTGCCCCTATGACTTTGCAGTACAGCAGAGGTGGGGACTCGAGTCCGACTCGAGTCACATATTTTTTTACTTGAGACTTGCTTGACTAACATTGATAAAAGACTTGACTTTGACTTGGAATAGATGACTTGAGACGGATGACTTGAAAGGACTTGACTTTTTTTTATTAAATATTTGCGTTTGTTTTTGTATTGAGATATTACGTTTAGATTTTTCGAAACGTGATTGGGTGATTATAGCGCCGTGCGCGCAAACCTGGCAACCCACTAGACGGCAGGAGTGTTAGTTAACATGACAGCGGCTAGCGTTACTCCACAAATAGTGAAGTTTGGATTCAAGGATTATTTTGTCGATGACGGTAATAAGAAGAGAACAGCGGTATGCAGGGTCTGCAGCATAAAGATCAGTGACACGACCACCACAACATCCAACTTCATTCG